CTATAGGTGAAACTCTAAGGAATGCATCAGCTTTGAATTTCATTTCAACGACTCCTAAAGTCCGACAAAATTCGATAAGAAAATTCATTTTGCAATGGAGCTAGCAGTTAGCTTGCATGCCACCAGCCAAAAAAAAAATATCCACATGAACTGAGTGCAGTGAAATGTGGATGTGAATGCAATTATAGTACTGACACAGGTAGCCCAGCCAAGCTTATTCACTCTGATAGTTTATCTACACTTTATGAAAGCTTCTAGCAGATGTCAGCATTTGTAAACTTAAATTGAACGAATACCATCAGTGCAGGTACAGTTAAAAACATAAATTATGCCAAAGAGGAGATAATTTGGAAAAAAAACAGAAAAGAGGTGCCTCTGCATCAGTGTATAGGTTAAATTGTGCTTTTCAAAATAAGGTAATTGTGGAATGAAGAATAAAAGTCAAAGCCCTCGGTAGTCTGTACCTTATGAAGTTATGATAAACAATGCAGTGCTTACTAACTGATAGGTTTTCGAGGCAACTGACAAGAATCCCTAATGTTTACCTCATTTTATCCACCTTGTTTGATAAACAAGATACAGAAGACATTCCAGACACATGCTATTCAATTATTTATTAGACCTTCAAACATGTTTTCTGAATTGACAATACGATTACATAGCTCTAAACTGGCATTTAGATTGAAGAAAACATTTCTACTTTCTTCTCCTCATATACAAAGAATCTCCCTCTAGGTTATTATAAAAGAAAACATCAGGCACAGTTTGGTTTGAAAATGAGCTGTTCAAGCTCTGTTCCCGTCTAGGCTCGTTTTTCTCACCACAAGCTCAAATCTGAGCTCAGGCTAGGATAACATGGGAGTCACAAGTGACATATCAAGAATGTGACTACAATGAATAAGACCTAATATTAATGTACACGAATAATAGCTCTAACCAACATTCCTTTTCGTTTATGTAATACTTTTGACATTATATTTTATCTTTTTTTATTTTTCCAACTTACACAATGTACATTTACCAAACAAATTGAAGTGAGTTAGAAAAATTACCACAAGTGCACAAGCCAGTTCAACATTAGTGCTTAACTGATGTCAGGAAGCATTTTGACAAACAAATGTGTGGCCTCTGAGGAGACAGTGCTTCAAAACTAACGTAATAAAGCAGCTGTATTTATATCTTTATTACCAGACAGAATACCACCACTGCCTTTTGTTTTAAGTGCATGAGCCTCTAGTGCGATCTGCACAAACCAACTCTGAGCCAGATTTTAAGGACTGAAATATTCTTAAAAGAGAAAACAAGTAGTAAATAACAGCCAATCCATCAACTTCAACCACAAGTCCACGCGTGTGCCAGAGTTTGAAAAAGATATTGTGTTTAAGATGCAGAAGTATCTGAAATATAAGAAACTTCAGAACAAAAGACAAAAAAAAAAAAACTAGCTGATAGAATATGAAGGAAACCGGGAAAGACTAGCGGGGAAAAAAACTTACTAGCTGAACTATGTGGAGTATCTAATGCCAATTTCATCATTGAATAGAATAATGCACCGGCACAGTCTTCGGAAGCACGATTGTACGACAACCTGATGTATGAAATAGGCAAGGAATAAAATAATAAGGTATTGCTGAGCAAGTATTTCTCACCAAACAAGCATAGTGAAAAAGGAATGGAAAGGAAAGCAGTGTCACTAGACAGAGACATTTTCATCTGACAGCTCAAGCTATTTAACAAAAGATTAATACCATAATCTACGAAAGTTGAAATAATTTTGAGGCAGTAGAGTTCTGAGGCTACCACAAGAATATCATTGAGTGACCACCAGTTGAAACTTTAGATAACACCATCCAACTGAGATCATGGTTACTAGCAAATCGATTTGAGTCTCTTGCAGAATCCTAAATTCATAAGTTTTTAACGAGTCATGATCCATTTTATTGGATCGTATGATCTCAATCCGAATTGTGATTTTACCAATCCAAGTTGATGGGTTTGTTTGTTGAGCGCATTTAATTATTGAGCAAACCCAGATCCTATTTATCGTTTTAACATTAAAGACTCAATTCGAATGTTAATGTCTCATATAATTGCCAGTCTATGAGGAATTTCAGCGGATGGAAAAAGCTAAAGAAAGTTTCTTTTGTTTACAAAAAATCTCTTTATTTATTCATCTCTCTCATTGAAAAGTTTAAAGTAACAGTTAGATTTGATCTTCTCTCTCGGAGAGTGATCATAGCCAAATAGTCTTCGATTTTTATTCTTTTCTAATTTTTTGTTTGAACGTCGATCAGTCAAACTTATTATTCAATGGCCTTTCAACTTTCCGGTGTCTCCTCTGCGTCTATCTCCCTCCGAAAGTGAAGATCAAAATATCTCGATTTTCCTATTCCTCTTTGCAAAATCCAACAATATCAACACACCATCTTTGATTCCCCAACCATTGAAAGCTCAAATTGTGGTTTATCAAATTTCAATCATATCTTTAAGTACTATGTTTCCCATAACATTTCTATTTGCATATAAACTAGGCTTGTTTAATTATTGTTTTTTAAAATTCTGTATTATTACATATGTTTTTTGTCTTATTTGGCCTTATGATTTTCGATGTGATTCTACGATCCCGATCTCTTAGCCTACCCCATCTATCCAATTGATCCAAGAACAAAATGAAGATGCATTAAAAAATAAATGAGAGCTGAAAATATTTGAAACACATGATTATGGAAATATGATATCAAAATCAGGAAGGGTACCTATCAATTGTGCCCGTATATGTCAAAACCTGTGTACAGCCTCAAATACTGAAGCTTAATTTATTATGTGCAGCTATGTTTTATACATAAAAACTCCAATACGAAAATAAGACCTAAATTAACCAGTTGAATAAGAATGAAGTAATGATACACCATACCGTAGTGAGTTCACTTCTAAGATAACATGATCATCTTTAACATTTTCATGAACAGCCCTCAAAAACGTTGCTTCAACCTGAAAATATAAAAGGGGAAATGAAGTTTGAACACAATTTCTTTTATTGTTAGGATGCCCTCAAACATTTACCTCCTTCTCAAAGTAAGCTGAGTCAACTCTGATATCTACAATATCATCATCATCGGAATCATTCATGACAGAGTCAGGTTCCAACTCTCCTGAAAGAGGAAGTACATTTCCATCTTGAGTAGATATCTCCAGTTCATCATTTGTAGGTTGTATGCTCTCAAAAAGTTTATCTGCAGGAATGGGAGCAACTGAATGCCTCCACTCTTCTTCATGCCCTCCTTCACTAACTGACCAAATGAAGCCAACCCCACCATTACCAACCTGACAAATACAGTGAACGGTAAGAGAAGGACAAAATTCCAGTCAGTCATTCCACCAATAACTTACTAGATTAAGAAACCAAGGGCAGTGAAATCTGGATTTTTTCCACGACCATAGAGAGGAAATGGTACGACAGAAAATGTTTCAGGGACTCTAATAATTGAGGAAGCTCACCAGAATGAATATTTATTTATCTAAAATAGCCTATGTGATTGATGATACCATCCTATGACCACGCATTCAAAAGATGTTTCTTCATTCTTTTCATGATCTATGCCAACTCATTTTCAGCAATAATGCAATTTGAGCATTACATTTCAAGGATGCACATTTCAAGGCAAAATTCAAATGCAACATGCAAAAGTTCAACTCCGTAAGTTTCTTTATATCTTTTAGACCATACAATTGTTAAAGAAACGCAACAGGACAGACCTGCATAATCATTCCTATAAAGTCAGGATATGTATGTGAGCACGGGTTATACTCACACAAAGAGGATCTTCAATCCCTAGGCTAGGATAGGTGTGTGTGATCGTATCTCAGTTGGTGTATGAAGGGATACCTTCAAAGAAGATTTGTGTGTATATTTACGATACTAATGGTATAATATAATAAAAGGTAAATGTTCAGCCATCCATTATAAAATGAAAGTTCATCACATATAAGACTTAGAAGAGAGGACTTGAAGTTGTTGAACAATTTTCAAAAAGAAATCAGCTGATGTGACTCATAAAGACGTACCAGAGACCNCATTATAAAATGAAAGTTCATCACATATAAGACTTAGAAGAGAGGACTTGAAGTTGTTGAACAATTTTCAAAAAGAAATCAGCTGATGTGACTCATAAAGACGTACCAGAGACCTGGAACCAAATCTCAACAAAATCCACATGCTCAAGATAGAGAAATGCATGCTAAAGATGATTTCCTTCTTGTAGAGCANGCCAACTCATTTTCAGCAATAATGCAATTTGAGCATTACATTTCAAGGATGCACATTTCAAGGCAAAATTCAAATGCAACATGCAAAAGTTCAACTCCGTAAGTTTCTTTATATCTTTTAGACCATACAATTGTTAAAGAAACGCAACAGGACAGACCTGCATAATCATTCCTATAAAGTCAGGATATGTATGTGAGCACGGGTTATACTCACACAAAGAGGATCTTCAATCCCTAGGCTAGGATAGGTGTGTGTGATCGTATCTCAGTTGGTGTATGAAGGGATACCTTCAAAGAAGATTTGTGTGTATATTTACGATACTAATGGTATAATATAATAAAAGGTAAATGTTCAGCCATCCATTATAAAATGAAAGTTCATCACATATAAGACTTAGAAGAGAGGACTTGAAGTTGTTGAACAATTTTCAAAAAGAAATCAGCTGATGTGACTCATAAAGACGTACCAGAGACCTGGAACCAAATCTCAACAAAATCCACATGCTCAAGATAGAGAAATGCATGCTAAAGATGATTTCCTTCTTGTAGAGCAAAAAAATATTTTGAAGTTTTAACTTTTAAGGTTTGGCAAGATTCGAAATTAATGTGATAATCCCGTAGATGATAGACTTCTTGCTGAGGTTCACAAAGCTCAATTCATAGTGGAATATTATAATTCAATTGAACTCAAAAGGTGAAGCAATACCATTAGGCAATAACACAAGACAAGTTATTGGGGCCATAAAATAACTACTCAAACTCCAAAATCAAGCCTTACTATGAGAATTTTCAACTAACAATGAGAAATGAGTGTCTATCTCCCTCCCTTGATTAAATCAAGCCTTACTTATCCTCCCTATTTGGATTGCAGAAGACTCACTCTAATAGCTGGACTCACCTATATCTTGATCCACCAATTTTGCACAAGGAAAATTTTCTTTTGGGGACACAAATTAGTCACACTCAAATACATTAAATGTTGTTGACTTTGAATCAAGAATACCCTGAACATGATCAATTTGGCTTTATTGGATCCAGAGGTTGCCTAATTTGGATTCATTAATGACCTGTTGCTACTAAGTTTTCTCTACCCAACAGGTTCACACTTCAAAGTATGAAGTAAATCTGTCTTGGAGTCATAGACCACCAAATCCGAGACTGGATCTCTACTTAAGATGAAGCATTAGCCCTGATGGTTGAAGCCATCGGAAAAGCCCACTATCGTGCTAAGAAATATTGTCGCGTCACCATTGCCAACTTTGGTTAGGAACCTTGGAATTACCATTTATCTCAAGTAAATCCTTCTCAAACAGATGCACAATTCAAAAATTAAAATCTGACTTTATGCATCCATCATGTCCTCCATTTTACAGCCTTACAGTTTATCAAAACGTAATTGGAACCAAATTAGCATTCCAGACTCTAAACATCATGAGAAGGTGAAGATTTTTTACCGTACATATCTCACTTTTGTAATTTAAGAGAGAAATTACGAGATATTTCATGGCATGCATGTGATGTCTAGTTTTATGTCTTAAATGGTGTTGATGACAATATTATATCTATCACAGAACATTTATCTTACGCATTGGTAGACTTCTGGATTTTTGAATATTTTCTGTGCATTTCTTCTCCTTTTTATGCTTAAAATCCTATTAGGATTATCCTATTATTGAAATCAAATACAAAAATTTTGACATTACTACAAAAATAAAATACAGGCACACACACTTACAGCATCAAAAAGGAAAGAAACAAGGTTTCGCAGGCATTAGGCTTGGTGATAAGATATTTGAGTGCAAGGAAGCAAAGCTTAAAAGCTAACCTCAGATACAGCCCCGCGTTGCGATTCAGACAATTCAGACGTAAATTGCCCATTTAACATATCCGTTGTTTTCATCGCTGCATATAAAAACTTAAGCAAGGTTATATCAGAACCATACAATTCATAGCTTTTAGTTACACACACCAATACCTACAAAGAAGCAGAAGATTAACTGCATGACAAAGCCAAAGTCAAATAGAGCATTTGGACAATTCTAGACTTTCACTCCAATTAGAAAGCTATAAACTTCATTTGCATCCTTAGCAGCAAAATTAAACCATTATATTTCAAATAATCCGGTTGCATTCTACCATGTTACGACTAATTTATTGCTCAGATGAGTTGCACAAGGATCACACCTAATGTAGCACATGTCCTTGGGCTAATATACACCCAGCTTAGTTAAAATGTGGTGGTTCACATTAACCAGCGATTTGTCCTGGCTCTCAGAACCCATATCAATAGTAGGGGTGAGGGGACTGGCAAAACCAAAAATACTATCCACAATTCATGAGAGAGGATTTGATGAGGCTAAGGTCTATCCCGCTGCTCTCGTTTGAGTTCAGACTCCTCACCATCCGGTGCAAGAGAAGTCTTTTTACAAGCCTTTAAACATCCTAAGAAAACCAAGCTTCAGCTTCTGATTGCAGAAGATTGCATTGCATTAAACCATCAAGACTTACGAGGGCATTTTCAACAGTCCACTTATCAGGGAGACCTCGACTTAATAGGCTTCTTAGTCTCCCCTGTTAAATATCCATCCAAATAAATAACTTGAGTTGATAGCAAGCAATCTGGTGACCGTACCAAATAATTGCTCCATAAAATTCTCTAGACTCGTTAGTAGAGCAGGGTTGTTTGCAAGGCCCTAGACGACTCAACCCACTTGCACCAATAATAGTCCGACATATCCACACACTAGAAATAGAGCAAAAAAAAAGGCAAGAATCAGAAGAAAATAAAGGAAAAAAATTAGAACACGCCTAAACTAAATTTCAAACAGTATCCAAGCAACAAGAAGATCCAAACATTCCAAAAGCAGCCTAACCAAGCCTCAAATCTGATAAGAACACAAGAGAAGTCAAATATAATACTAACAAAACATCCTAGGAATTGCTTTTGTTCCAGGCGCAGCTTATACTGAACAGTCAGACTAAAAGGAAGATCCAAAGCTCTCAAAACAGCCAGATTTCAATAAAGAAGACTCAGATCTGACATTCATTCAAAACTCAAAAAACCAAATAAATGACTTAAAAACCTGGTAAAATAACCATGTTACCTAACAAATAGAAGCGATTCAAATCATTTCTTTTTTGCATGTAGTGGTCATTATAGAGGTTCCTTATCCTAGAAAACGTTCGAAAAAACCTATTATGGAACTACCCAGCAGGGGCAAAAATAAGATAGGTAGACACATAATGTCAAGTGTGATCAGATAACTAAAAATCAGACACTTTTCTTTTCGTATACGCATTCTAATGTTGCCTCCCAGACTACTGCTATGAATAGAAAACTTCACTGCAATATATAGCTTTTGGTAAATGAAATTATCCTCCAGCATTACAGAATTTAGGCTGGTTTCTCTAACAATAATAGCCACCATAAACCCTAATTTTATTCAAAGGCATACTCCATCAGTTCTCAATCACCCTTGATCCATTTTACAGGAAGCATTCATCCCTAACTGCTCATCAAGGTGCTTGATGTTAGAAAGGTCCAGCATCAAACAACTTACTGAAAAAGAAACCACAAGCCACTAATTATTTTCACAATTAGGTATCAGGTGGTATTTTACTACTAGAGATTGCTGGAGTTAGCTTGAAACGAACTCCAGCTGCAAGGCTAGTCACTATCTTATATTTGTACTTCATCAATTTTCTAATTCTTTATTACTAATTGAACCAACACTTTTCTGCTGGTTTACCATCCAAAGAATCCAGTGATAAAACTTCCTGCCAAATTGTTACAGTCAGAAAGAATTACAGTGAGAGGATAAAATAGTTAAATATGAATTACAGATAGTAAAGTTAAGATTTCTAAAATATGATATACTGAAAAGTAAGCCATGCTTCTGCACTTATAAATCCAAAAAAAATCAGGTTCATACAAAAGCCAAAGTTCAAGGAATCTGAAGTATTAGACGTTACATGAAATTTCTACAACACCACTGCTGTTGTCAGCATATTCCAGCTCCTCGTCACTATCTTGCTTGATGGGTTGCTGAAGTAAAGATACCTTTGAATTGGTAGGAACAACAAATTGTTGCCCAACTACAACCTGGAGAACAAGAAAGAGCAATAGTAGCACAAAAGATCACACAGTTGAATTTCATGTCTTACACATGACAGCAGGACACTCCATCCAAATATCTCAAAGCAAAAACTAAATTAATTAGCTGAATAAGAAGAAACAATGCACAAACAATATTTATAGAGATAACATTCAACTAATATGCATAGCTCGACAACCACCAGACCAACAATTTGCTAAACACACAAGAATTCCTAATATAAACTTGACCCCATTAAATGCACTATCCACATTTTATTGCAACAAATGAAAATTTTTAGTAAGGATAGAAGTGGACAAGAAATCCATCCAAGTTAACCAAAAAGTGAACAACAACATAGAATAAAGTGCCTTCCTTTTAGCTACATGCTGCAACCAGACTTTGACGAATTAAGGAAAATCACGAATATTTTTAGAAGTGGTGACCCAGAGGGATGTCAAGAACTTTACTCTTTCCTCCTACACCACTTTGCCATCAAAAGTTCTATTATTCCTTTCCATCCATAGTACCCAAAAGGTCTCCGTAATATCACAATACCATAGAATATAGCATTAGTTCCCTTCTCAAAAGCCCCATAATTTTCCAACACCAATTGTGCAATTATCCATTTCAAAGCAATAGGACAGGGAAGAAAATGATGATCAGTGCTTTTACAGCTCTTACACATAGCACACCATTGAGAAGAAAGACGAGCATGTGGCTTTCTATTCAACAAGTCAAGTTTACTTATCCACCCGTGAGCAACAAACAAAACCTACCGCTTAAAAGGCAATTTAGCCTTCCAAATCAAATCGTGTCCAAAAGTGGAGAAAAGTGGTTCATCAATTAACAAATCAAAGAAAGACTTACAAGAAAATGTTCTGAAGAATAAAATATCCACAGTCTTTTATTAGGAATAACCAAATCCAAAGATAAGAGGAATGATAGTTCCAAGATTTCCCTTTAATTTAGATTTCTTAAAATATTAATGTCCCACTCCCTCTTGACAAGAAGAAGAGCACCTCTCCGCAACTCGAAAACCATAAGACTCAGACAACCTAAAGAACTGAGGATAGTGAAAAGCAAAAAAGAGTAGCTAAGAAGCATGAACACAGATATGACACAACACAGACAGGTCGACGTGTCATTTTTCAAAAAAAAATGGGACATCGACACGTCAGTGTGTGTCTATATATATATATATACATAAAACCGTTACACATCAATTTACCAATAAAACATCTTATAGTAGAGAAGAATACTTTCATTGACAAAGGATTGTTAGTTTTTTTTTATTTTCTTGTGAGGCGAACTTTGCTATTGAATTTTGGGGGTTTGGTGAAAACAAGAAGTTTTGTGCCCTATAGGAATGAGAAATGATGATAACCCATTGGGTTTTATTGTTAGAAAGAAATGCAAGAATATTTGAAGATAAATTTGCGGATGAGACTACTTTGTGTGAAACAATTTTCTACTTGGCTTCTTTTTGGATGTCAGTGTTTGGATTGGATTGATGATAAAATATAATTCTGGGTTGTGAATAATGATTCGATTGATGATGAAGAAAGAGAATTCGTAATTCAGTTCTCCACATTAACGACAGAAAAAAAGATTGATATTGAGTCTGACTCATAGTGATCATTTATCAAAGCTAGTTGTCATTCGATTTCAAAAAGCCCTAAGTAATCCTAATTTTCAATAATTTGTTTGCATACAAATCGGTTTGTATGTATCTGTGACCCCTATTTGTGTATTGATTTTAATTATTTTCATATTACCTCTTTAACCTTTATCTCTTTGAAATTACAAGAATAACGTCCTTATCAAACAGTTACTTGAAAAGTTTTAATAAATTTAGGAAAAAAGTCCCAAAACATGTACTCTGCATGTCTCACAGCTTGTCCTATCTGTGACCTTGCAGGTAGCCATCATAGCCATCAAAAACACCTTGGTAGAACTGGTTGTTCAAAGAACAAACCCTCTGTCTATNACATGTACTCTGCATGTCTCACAGCTTGTCCTATCTGTGACCTTGCAGGTAGCCATCATAGCCATCATAGCCATCAAAAACACCTTGGTAGAACTGGTTGTTCAAAGAACAAACCCTCTGTCTACCACCCACCTCATGGGACACAATTCCACAACCACAAAGCCAGACAAGAGAAACAGATGTAGGACCTATAAACCCAATACACCCGCCAATTCCGGCATGTGTCAAAGCATATCCAAAGCTTGTCCATATTCCAGATGTGCCCGATACTGACATTCTGGCCTAAACATGGTGTCTGTGCTTCCTAGAGACACAAATCTCCCAACCACAGATAAACGGTCGAAAATATTTTTTGAAGATGTTTCTGAAACACAATAGNTACACCCGCCAATTCCGGCATGTGTCAAAGCATATCCAAAGCTTGTCCATATTCCAGTGTGCCCGATACTGACATTCTGGCCTAAACATGGTGTCTGTGCTTCCTAGAGACACAAGTCTCCCAACCACAGATAAACAGTCGAAAATATTTTTCGAAGATGTTTCTGAAACACAATAGAATGCATTAGTTATAAAATTAATTATGTCATTGTAAATAACTCCTTAAACATCATTATCATCAAATCATCCTTTATAATTACACAAAAATCTTGAAGCACTGTAATGGAGAATCCATGTGTATCGGGAGACTTATTCCTATTACATTCAAAATTGTAGCCTTTATCTCACTTCTCAAAAGACTTTTTTAACCAACTTGATGTTTCCTCACTAATAGGACACCAATCTATACCCATTAACCTCGGTCAGTGCACTTTTTAGTTCGAATATAACTCTATAAAGAAACAAATGATTTCTTCCTCAATGCGCCTTCAATCAAACTATGATTGCACCAATTCCTAATTTATTTATCAAATCCTTCTTCCCCCTCCCACTTGACACCTTGTGAGACATGTAGTTATTACCCTCTTCCTTTTTTGTTTTGAACTTTATTAACCTCTTCCTGAACCCACCTAAACTTGACATTTGCCTCTAAAAATATCTTCTTTAAACATCATCATTTCAAGTCCATTCTAAGGTTACTTCTTTCTTTTGTCAAGTGATCATTCAACACCCACTCTCTGAGTTCACAACAAACAACTTGGCCAATTTTTCGATGATTATGTCTCAAATACAATTATTGAAACTAAAGGAACACACTGGAAATTTAAGCATCACCTCCATCAAACTTGGACACAACTCTCTTTGTATTAAGTCTAAAAAATACAAGTTTCTAAGTTACCATAGAATCAGAAGTAATATTTGATTTCCTATTGAAATCGGCTTGAAATGACTGTGACCACCACCTTGACAAGACTAAATATTTTGTACTAGTTTGCCGGTGTAGTTTTTGGCAAAACAACTCAAAGGTTCACAAGCTATCATAGATTCAAAATAATTCAATAATTTCAGGGGGATTATGAAGCGATTCACCAATTTTAAGTTGCAATACGAAAAAAGGGAAAAGAGAGAGCAANTTTTGGCAAAACAACTCAAAGGTTCACAAGCTATCATAGATTCAAAATAATTCAATAATTTCAGGGGGATTATGAAGCGATTCACCAATTTTAAGTTGCAACACGAAAAAAGGGAAAAGAGAGAATGGTGAAATAATTAGAGTCTTGATAGTAGTTGTGGAGCCAGTCACATGGTTATTCTCAATTGTTGTTTGCAAAATATTTCTTACACATTTTTGATATTTTTCAAACACGGGTTTAAAAAAGTTTACATATGTCTGAATGCATTTAATCATATTTCATATTTGGGCATTTAAGTTGAATTTATAATTATAAATTAACTAAACTTACCTAATATTTAGTTAGTTGAATCCTGTCAACATATTTTCATGAAATCGTCTCAAAACTCTTCATTCTTTTTCTCTCTAAATATATCCTCTCTCTCCTTGCAGTTGAGAATGAAGATATATTGGAGAAAGCATNGTTGAATTTATAATTATAAATTAACTAAACTTACCTAATATTTAGTTAGTTGAATCCTGTCAACATATTTTCATGAAATCGTGTCAAAACTCTTCATTCTTTTTCTCTCTAAATATATCCTCTCTCTCCTTGCAGTTGAGAATGAAGATATATTGGAGAAAGCATGTTTAACGACATCGAATACAAAAAATAGTAGAAAAAATATTAAGTTTATATGAATTGATATATGCTAATAAATATTTAAGTTTATGTTATTTAAGGTTTTTATCTTACTATTGTAAAATTGGTCGTCGTTGTATCATATTCCTAGCTTCGCCCATGCTCGGTGAAGTAATGGGCAAGGATCAAAATTTCGTTTCGAAATGGTCATAACGTCCGAAACGTTTCTATTCTAAGGAGAGTAAAACGAATCAGTGATGAAATCGAAATTCTAATACTTCGAGGTGTTTCATAATGGTTTGAGGTGTTTTGTAATATTTTAATGTATTTGCACAATTGTTTCAGAAAGTTCAAAAGTATTTCAAGATTTTTTGGTATATTTTGACCAATGTTTTAGAAAAAAAAAAATTTCATTGTTTTTGTCAATTCTATTTCCAAAATAGATCTAAACGTTTTCATTTCCTAGGTAACCGAAACAATGCATCNGTGAAGTAATGGGCAAGGATCAAAATTTCGTTTCGAAATGGTCATAACGTCCGAAACATTTCTATTCTAAGAAGAGTAAAACGAATCAGTGATGAAATCGAAATTCTAATACTTCGAGGTGTTTCATAATGGTTTGAGGTGTTTTGTAATATTTTAATGTATTTGCACAATTGTTTCAGAAAGTTTAAAAGTATTTCAAGATTTTTTGGTATATTTTGAACAATGTTTTAGAAAAAAAAAAATTTCATTGTTTTTGTCAATTCTATTTCCAAAATAGATCTAAACATTTTCATTTCCTAGGTAACCGAAACAATGCATTCAAACGCAAATTTGATCCTTGGTAATGGGTACCATGCAACTTATCCAACAATAATTTCTAATTATATACAAACAATATCCATGTGACAGAATATTGTGTCTCTAGGAAATGCTACCATGTGTGTGTACAAATACCAATGACATTGGAAAAACTTCCAAAATCACAATAACAAAAATATAAATTTTTCCTTAATAAAAGCACATGTTGGGAGAAGAGAGATAAGAATGCGACTGCATTAGATATCAAAACAATCTAGAATACTAGGAAATCACGTCATGATATAGGGCTACCAATTAAGAAACATTGGGAACAAAGTATCTGGCGCTAACCAACATACTTATGTGGGGTAAATGAACGTCCTAAGGCATGTTAAAACAAAATGCCAGTTCATTAATGTTCAGTGACATTGCAGGAAATGACCTAACATGACTATAATCATTGGATGAAAGGGATTTAGCCCATTTCTTAAAAGCAAAAGGTATGATGAAGTTTTACAGACATACCTTGAAAGATAAAACAACACCAGGTTCCAAAGCTGCACCTGACTTCATAATCACCCCATCGCATACTATTGCGTGCCTTAGTTTACAGCTGTCCTCAATGGTGACATTATGCCATATATAGCAACCTTCTATCGATACATTTGACCCAATAGTACAACCTTCCCCAACTACTGAATTTGAAATTCGCGCGTTGCTACCGACAGTAGTACCATTCCCAATAACGGTAAAAGGACCAATTTGAGCAGATCGTGATTGTCCTACCTCTGAAAAAAACAAGTTCAAGAACACTGTAGCAGAAGTGAACCAGTTATTTAAAGGAACCCATAGCAGTGGGTTCTCAATTGAAAAAAAGGTTGCCATCTTACAAGCATAGACAATGAACATCACAATCAAATCACTGCAAGTAGATCACTCGATGACAAAACATTCTACTAAGGAACTTATTACCTGTGGTAACAACACATTTTACAAAATCTGTTTATTTTTTGTACTACAATCACACTATTATACTACCAAATCAAACATTCAAGTCAACCAACAGAAGAACTTTGGTAATTGAAGCCCATCAAATCACTACAAGTAAATCATTCGGTGATTAGACAGTCTACTAAGGCAATTTGTTACAGGCAATAATTTCACATTTTACTGACTCTACTCATCGTACTATTGTCACACCATTATACTAGGAGTCAAACATTCAAGTCAAACAACAGAAGAAAAACTGCAATAATTAAAGCAAAACTATCCGCGTATAAAGTAGGCAACTTGTAACATGTAAATTCATTCCCCAGACAAGCCAAAATGATTAACATCATCCAGATTCACTCCCCAATACCATAGTTTTAGATAACAGTCACGACCTCCGTAATGGTAATGGCAACGGGAACGTTGAAACAGACGCATGTCGTATAGGGTTACATAACAGTAACAGAAACCGGAGGAATGAATTTGTTTTTTCCAATTCACACCTCTCCTAAAAATGCATGTTTAGTTTAAACTCTAGAATAATGCCAATATGGATATTTTGTGACCACAAAAATGATATAGACATGTTTGCATTGAGTGAAACATTATATAATCTATAAAAAATGATAAGTCACAAAAATCTTATGGTTTCCATTTGAAATTAAATTTATAAGAAAGCGGGAAAAAAAATAGTGCATTTACTAAAGAAAACTTATTAGCCCATTAATGATGGACATAGCATAATCAATCTTGTTTGTATAAAAAGATTATTTCAGTGAAGATGGGTGTACAAAAATCAGGTATTTGAGCGTGTAAACAGTAAAGGTCTCAATAAGGTTTGATAGAAAACACCAAATACAAAACTAAAATATCCATTGCTTCGGTTAACGGTGAGAATCATTCATCAAAGGCTTGAATAGTCATTAGTGCTCCAATTTCCAAATCCAACTACACAGTTCCTCGATTTCTCTGCCCACTAACCCCCCCCCCCTTTCACACACACTCTTTCTCTCTCTCCATCCAATGGCTTCACTCCAATCTTGAATTCCCACCCTCTTTCTCTTGTCCTCTATCTCCTCTAAGTCCCTGCAATTTCATTCTTTCACAGCAATTCCTTTCATAGTAGAAGCCCCACTATCAAGTCCAGTGACATGCCCTCCAAACCATGGTCATCATTGACTCCGACAAGGCTGACATGGACCGCGAGACCTTGAAGGATGCTGTCATCGTCATTGGTGTAGTGAGATTCCTCTGGTAGGTGCTCTAGTTTGATTATTGTGCAAAGACGCAAGCATAAAATCCAAAAGAACTGGTGGTTTGGGATTCACACCGCTTATTGGGTTGCAATAGTCCGCATCGGTCCGATTTGGCTTGTATCGTCGTTATGAGCGTTATGAGATGTTCTATACCGTAAAAGTCATTACGGGTGTGAAATAATTTCTTATCAAAAAATCTAGTTGTAACGGGATCGGTGACTGTCGTTACCGTTATGTAACGGCCATTACACACCGTAACAGCTGATTTTTAAAACCATGTCCAGTACATTCAGGCTAGAATGTGGAACTGTGACCTGAATTACAAAAATTAAAATTTCAAATCAGTTTGTTCAGAATAGCAATAGGGAAAAAAGAATTACGTTGTTCTATGTGATATGGATGAAAAGCCTTATCTTTCGTGCTCTTCTTTTTAAAGAAATGGCTTGAGCAACTTTAAAATCTTACCTTTAGCAATGGCAGGAGTCTATCAGCCTTAAAGTGTACGAGCAGCCCCGAGACGGATCACTAACCCAACAAGAAAAGAGTGGACACAAACACAAAAACAGTGTCGTGAAAAACACACAAAAGAAGACCCTACTTTAAACTTCTCTTAGCCCAAATTCTTTGCAACAAACCGAAACTTTATTTAGACCACATGATCACATTCAATGCAGAAGCAGCTTAAAAAATTAACACCATGAGAGAGAGACTTCCAAAGGATCCTCATCGACAGGAAAATACAGACTAAGAAAGCAAAGGGGGTCCTGTAACTGAAGTCAACTAAGCTACAGTTTTGACTGAAATTTCCATATCGTATAAAATGCCCCACTCAAATCTAGACATGAATATGATCGCAGTTTTGGATATTCGTGATTTCATAGCAATACATTGGTTTTCTATTGTCCCAGTCCAGAAGAAGGAGAAGAAGAATTATGTAATAGTTGTGAGCTTTTGGAATTATTACAGGCAAAAATTCTTATTTGCTACTTAATGCCCATGAATAACAATGGGGTCCATGTGTGCCTGACATAATATTTGTGATGCCATAGAATTAGCATGTATGATAAAAAATTTCATTTCTAACAGGTCTCCAAATGATTGAATGAAGTTGACCCAGATCCAAATCCAGCCACTAATTCCACATGCCAAATGCAGGCAAAAGGAAGTTGATGAAGATGGTCCATCCCCAAAGAGTTTCTTCTCTCTCCTTTATGTTTTTCTGCTTAACGATGGAAGCAACCAATACACACAAGAGCACCAAAAAAAAGAAGCACAACCCATTGTACAAGTCTACAAAAAAGGGCCATGTGGGGATATGAAGCCAAAATATCATATGCATCTCAAATAACTAAAGGAACAAATTACAATATTAATGGCGTATCGTACTATAATTATACAAACAATATTATATAACATAACCAAGAAAAGAATGATAATAAACTCTTCATTTCGGTCCTGTGTTGAATCTGGTAGTACACTCAAAAGAATCACACAATAAAGAACAGAAATTCAAAACTACTTCAAAATGATTGGAAAAACCTCTGGTTAGAAATACCAACCAAACTGATCTATGCTAAGGAACGACTATAATAATAAGGCATTGATATACAAACAGCAATGATACACAGTGATGAAGTCAGTAACTTAAAGCATACCCCTGGAAAAAAAGAAAAAGCAAAAACACCCTTGTGGGCCTGACTGATTAACCACCTGATCCCACTGTTGGTTTCACATGACCACAACTATATTTCGATGGTTTCTGATAATCTACAAAGTCTGACAAATTTTACTATAGAAATACTAGAGTTTCCACAAACAGATATGCTTTAAGTAAAGTTATAGATCAGATGTATTTTAGTAATTGCAAATTTTTGATAGTTCTAGATTAGTACTTGTTCAATATGGTTTTTCTATTGCCCTTTAATTGTTTAGATTTAACTAAATCCCATTAAACATATGAATTCTTGGTCCCTGGATTTCCCAAAATGGGAAGTTTCCACTGCAAGTAGGTCATGCATGAGCATCTACATAAGGAGGACAATACAGTATAATAGATGGACAAAACATCTCGGCAGATTTTGCTCTTTTTAATGGTATGACTGCATCAGTTTCTTCGAGGCTCGCGCAAAGAAGTTTTAGGCAAGATTCCTAGTGAGAGGCCTCGCAACCAGATCTGTGAGGAAAGCTTATTTATATGAGACTCTGTCCTCCATTGCACAGCCTCATTGAGCAACATGTACAAATTTCCTTATACCAAATTCATTGACAATCCGTTAGTTGTCATTTGCAATTAATATCCTAAAATTGTACTTCCATTCCAGAACACAAAGAACAAAGGCCAGTTACCAAAAAAACAAAAAAGAACAGAGGCATAATTAAAGTGGAACCCACTCCAGTGAAGAGACACAACAAATATGTAATGAAGAAAACGCTTGCAAAAAAACCCCAAGATGATAGCATTTTAGTGGTTGTAATGACTGATCGCAGAGGTGGAAGTGTCAACTTCGAGCACCTCAATGAAGGTAGTAGTAGCACCATGTCATTTACCATCTGAAACCATTTCATTGCGCACAACATGCAACTATGTTGTAGTTGTTTATAAATACCTCAATTTTAAAATTGCAATTCACAACATTGCAATCTATGCTTAAGCATTCTACCTGCAATATTTTCATGTTGAGTATGTACACAGTCTCCCTCACGATCTCCAAGCGTTATACTGAATATCTGACATATTTCCTGTGTTATTCTAACAGCTCCCTGAATCAAAATATTACTCACATTCAAAATTGGAAATAATTAAACAATTCAAGAGTCCTTAGGTCAATCAGCTTCACGAATGAACAAATTACAACATAGTAATTAAGAGTGCGTTTGGTAACGTTTTCATTTTTATATTTTTTTTAAAAATAAAATAAAACAAATTTTTGTTTTTCTGTGATAAAAATTAAAAATATAAAATATGTTCAGTAGTTATTTATATTTAAAAAATTGTGAAAACAAAAATAAAAAACATGTTTGGTATTATATCAAAAATCCAGCACCCAACACCACCTAAACCCACCACTAACAACCACCCAACCCCACATCTAACCGTTGAAATCCACAGCGCACCACCCCCAAACCACCTAAAACCCACCCCCCACACCCCGAAAATCCACCCCCAAACCCTTAAAACCCTTCCCTTCCCCCGCCCCACCTCCAAACCTTGAAAACCCACGCTGAAACCCAAAAACCCACCCCCAAACCACCTAAAAACTACCTATCTTTCTCGTGCTCTCTCTACCACACACTCAAATATAACGATATATACATAGATATAGGGCTATATATATATATATATATACACACACACATAGATCTAGGGCTAGGAGATGGAGATGTAGATGAAGATGAAGCAAAATCTGACCTTGGAGATGGAGTAGTGGCTTTTGGATCCTTTGCAGCGATTAGCGATGCCTTCCTCTTCATCATTGGCAGCGAGAGAGAGAGAGAGAGAGACAACAGAGAGGGGTGAAAGAGAAAGAGAGAGAGATGACCTTTTATGCTCAAGCAAAAAAATTTATTTTTTGTTGTTAAGGAGGATCGAAGCCAAGATCTCATTAAATCCCTTTTAACCTTCGTGTTTGTTTGTTTGTTATTTTTATTTTTATTTTTTTATTTTTTCAAAAACATCCTTTTTGGATGTTTCCATATTTTAGCCTTGTTTTCAAAACAGAGCAATTAAAAAAAAACGAAAACATTCACCANTTTTCAAAAACATCCTTTTTGGATGTTTCCATATTTTAGCCTTGTTTTCAAAACAGAGCAATTAAAACAAAACGAAAACAGTCACCAAACACGTTTTTATTTTTTTTTTTGCCGTAAAATGAAAACAAAAACAAAACAAAAAAAACTAAAATAACTACGAGATTCAACAATTAATCCCACTCAAGTTCACATTCCAGCACCTCATTAGCTTGACCACTAAGGACATTACATGGGATGATGGCCAGCTAACTCTCCAATAACTGATTACCTTCAAAAATAGTTTAATTTTAGTGGACAAGCAACAGAGTAAAGGGTCTTCATTTATGAAATTTTCTCCAGTTTGTAAACATGTAAGGTGTTACAAAAGTGAGTGAAATTGGTACAGCCAAAGGAAATGGGAAAGAAAAACTACAATTATTTGTCATAAGTTGAGAATTATGGGGTATACATGCCCTCCATTTAAATCAGCCAGCATGGATTGCATAATACACTAGAAAATGATTGACTGGAATTCTGAGATTTTATTAGCTCCTTATGAAAAGCCCAACACAACATTGATGACTCCCTAGCCTAGCTCGGACCAAAACTCTTAAGCATGCCAAGTCAGACAGGAAACAAAACTAAGAACTATTGNGCCCAACACAACATTGATGACTCCCTAGCCTAGCTCTGACCAAAACTCTTAAGCATGCCAAGTCAGACAGGAAACAAAACTAAGAACTATTGAACAATCCCGAAAGATTGGAAGAAAAGCATTAACTATTTTTCTTGAAAAAAAAGTATTGTTTTACTATGAGACAACAAGCACAATTATACCAGCAGTGCATCATGAACATCTGCACATACCTAGTTAACAAACTACCAGCATATAGGTGTTTCTTAAAAGTGAAGACATGTTGATAATGACCTCACCTGATGCTCGGTACATGCCTTGTCTTTCAAGTTTAGTTGCATTATTTCCGAAAAACTGGACATCTGGCACCAACGGATAAGTCCACCTCTGAATTATGTCCTTGCTAATAGTATCATAGCTTCGAAAGTTATCAATCCTAGCCGCATAACTTGAATGAATTTCATGAGTAAAAATTTTGTAACCCATAATCTGAAAGCAGAAAGTAATAGTTTGAAAGGATTATAAAGAGGGTTTAGTGTCAAATACAATATAAAAATATGTAACTTGGAAAGCCAAAATAAGCCATACATATAATAGGATCTTTTCTTTTTAATTTTTGCAAATACATCCTAGAAATTTTGTTAAACGTAATTGTCATATAATATTCACCTCGAACAAAAATCAAAAGAAAAATCAACAGGTGCATCCAAAAAAACCAAATGCATTTTAAAATATTTTTTGATAGGAAACAACAATTTGATCAATAATTAAGAAGGGTGTAGTGCATATTGGTCATGATTATGGACAAGTCGTCCACACATAAACCAAAACCACAAAAAGCACTACTTAAAAGAAGAAAAGAAACAACAAAAAGAAATAGAATTAATCATTCACAAACCGCTTGCAAGTTTGCACATGGATAAAGGTGCAAGTTTGCGCATGGATAATTTCTCATGATAACATTCCTACTAATGAGGTCCTTCAAAAGAGGAGACCTAAATATTGTCTTCAACCGCAATGGTGAGTAATGTGTAGAGGTCATAATGAGAGTGTGGATCACTTATTTTTGCATTGTCCTTTGGCACGAGCATTATGGACAAGCTTTTTGACTTTATGGGCTTTGCTTGGGTTGCTATAAGGAATATGAAATCTGTGTTTTGTTTGGATGATGTTGGAGGCTGGGGAAATACAAAATGGAAGACCATTTAGCATAGCACTTTCTTTGCTACATTATGGGTAACTTGGAAGGAAAGGTAAATGAGAATTTTTGAAGATTTTGAGAGGTTGAAGGAAATACTTTATTTTTTGGCCTCTTTTTGGACTTCATTGTCCAAGGAGTTTCAAGCTACTCCTCTTTTTCTGTATTAGAGCATGCTGGAAAGCATCTTGCGGCTTGTAGTGTTGATTTTTTTTATTTTTTTTTTTACTTTTTACTTTTTTAAGCTTTTCATTGGACTGTCTTGTGTTGGACCTCTTGTCCACACTTGATGTAGTCTTTTTGAAATATTTCCCTTAATTATCAATAAAATGTTGTTTACCATCAAAAAAAAACAAGCTGCTTGTCAACATTCNAACATGCTGGAAAGCATCTTGCCGCTTGTAGTGTTGATTTTTTTTTTTTTTTTTTTTACTTTTTACTTTTTTAAGCTTTTCATTGGACTGTCTTGTGTTGGACCTCTTGTCCACACTTGATGTAGTCTTTTTGAAATATTTCCCTTAATTATCAATAAAATGTTGTTTACCATCAAAAAAAAACAAGCTGCTTGTCAACATTCCAAAGAGAGGTGTACTTGCAAAATCTTTTGAGACCGATGCCCAAAAAGTAGCAAGAAAGTAGATTTGGTTCCATAATCCATCGACCTCTGTGGAATTACCTTCAAATATTCTTGCATTTTTCNAGAAAAAACAAGCTGCTTGTCAACATTCCAAAGAGAGGTGTAGTTGCAAAATCTTTTGAGACCGATGCCCAAAAAGTAGAGAAAGTAGATTCGGTTCCATAATCCATCGACCTCTGTGGAATTACCTTCAAATATTCTTGCATTTTTCTCCAACCAAATCACCCATATAGTAGCAAATATTGCCAAATCCCAAAGAGTAACTCATTTACCTTTCCTTCCAAAACCATTATAATCCACACAAAACATTGTTGATAAGAAGTTGGAGCCAGCCAATAAATCCCCTCCAAAGAAATCAAGAAAACATTGTTGATTGTATTTTAACATATGACCTAATGAAAGTAAAAAGAGAAAAATTTCATCCAAGGGTTGTCCAAACCAAGCATGCCCACTAGCAAACTCATATTGGGCTTGAGTTTGCTGATTTTTTTATTTATCTTTCTACTTTCTCTGATTTTAATTTTTAGACATACATATTGTATTTGTGCTCCTAGTCTTTTTAAATCCTGCATGTGATTGCCATGTGAGGTTTTTAGTTCCTTAGAGAGCTAGGATTAAAAGGTTACCGAAGTAATCAAGGGGCAAGATACCAGGGCCACTGTAACCCTAGTATGGATACTCTTTTACTAGTTTTTTGTAAAAACTTCTTATTTTTCCAGAAAATCCAGAATTTCAGTCTTTTTTCGATCTCTTTGTGCTNAGCAACCTTCTTATTTTTCCAGAAAATCCAGAATTTCAGTCTTTTTTCGATCTCTTTGTGCTAGAAACTGATCTATTCCTGTTCTATCTTTGATTATATTGTTTTTCCTGTTATCTTATTACTAACAATTAATTTTAAAATTGATGATTTTTGCACTAAACAACTTCTTTCAGCAAAATTGAAATTTTGGTGAATCATATTGATTTTCTGGTACTAAATCGCTATTATCTGTNAAAATTAATTTTAAAATTGATGATTTTTGCACTAAACAACTTCTTTCAGCAGAATTGAAATTTTGGTGAATCATATTGATTTTCTGGTACTAAATCGCTATTATCTGTATAATTACACATAACCACACACCAGTTTCTACCCTTGGTGAGCAGGCCTTGCTCAATGAAACCCACAAGTCCTCAAGAGATTACTTTATTGTACTTGCAGTATAGTTGAGAAAACTTCTTCTGAGATTGTTTGTTGGTGATAGGCAAGGATCAAAATATTATTTTGAAACATCCGAAACATTTCTGTTTCCAAGGAAACTGAAACGAAATAGTGATGGAATCGAAATTCTGATATTTCGAGATATTCCAGAATATTTTTAAATGTATTATAATATTTCAATACATCTGCACAATTGTTTTAGAATGTTTCAAGGTATTTCAAGATACTTTGATATATTTCCATCAATGCTTTTAAAAAATAATTTTTATTTTTTTTTATTTTTTTCATTATATTTTCGAAACGGGNTAATTGTACTTGCAGTATAATTGAGAAAACTTCTTCTGAGATTGTTTGTTGGTGATAGGCAAGGATCAAAATATTATTTCGAAGCATCCGAAACATTTCCGTTTCCAAGGAAACCGAAACGAAATAGTGATGGAATCGAAATTCTGATATTTCGAGATATTCCATAATATTTTTAAATGTATTATAATATTTCAATACATTTGCACAATTGTTTTAGAATGTTTCAAGGTATTTCAAGATACTTTGATATATTTCCATCAATGTTTTTAAAAAATAATTTTTATTTTTTTTTATTTTTTTCATTATATTTTCGAAACGGGTCGAAACGTTTCCGAAACACGTTGAAACGTTTCCGTTTCTTAGGCGACCGAAACAATACACCAAAACGATATTTTGATCCTCGGTGATAGATTGTAAAAAATCTTCAATAAAGGAAATTCTAGGTTGGAGAATTGCCCATTTCGCAAACCACAAGTTTAATGTGGGTGATCCTAGAAAATCTCTTAAAGTGGATTGAGGCCAATGCATGTCAAACCACCATACATCTTTAGTTCTTTACGGCTATGTGAATTTCAATTGCATGTTTTGTATGTCACACTGATCACATTCATAAAATTTTGACCTCAATACTTGAGTATTGATTGAATCTGCGAGTGTTTTGATGATTTTAGTGATAAAGTGATCTTAAGGAATTAAGATCAATGAAAATCTAGTGGAGTCTCCCCCCCCCCCTCTCCCTTTTCCTTCCCTAGGACTACTTCAACCACTTCCCTATTAAGGCAAATGTGTCTAGCAATAATATTGTCTAAAGTAAGAACCCTTTATTCCTGGCCGAATAAAAAATTCCACTGCACCAAATGATCTTTTTTAACTTCCACGTCTCATTCTTACAAAAATTCTCTCATCCATTTTTCTATTTTACCCTNCAATAATATTTGTCTAAAGTAAGAACCCTTAATTCCTGGCCGAATAAAAAATTCCACTTCACCAAATAATCTTTTTTAACTTCCACGTCTCATTC